GGGTGTGATCTAAATGTTTTTAATCACACTTAAAAGATGTGATGTAAATATTTTTAATCACACTTAAAAGGTGTGATCTAAATATTTTTAATCACACTTAAAAGGTGTGATCGAAATATTTTTAATCACACTTAAAAAGTGTGATTAAAAATGATCCTTTTTAATCACACTTCCAAAGATCACACTTAAAAGGTGTGATCTAAATACTTTTAATCACACTTAAAAGATGTGATCAAAATATTTTTAATCACACTTAAAAAGTGTGATTAAAAATGACTACTTTTAATCACACTCCCAAATATCACACTTTAATAAAATTTAAAAGGTGTGATTAAATAACATACATCACACAAAAAAAGTGTGATCTTTATCTGTTTTTGTAGTAGTGCAACAATCCACGTCATTGAGATCAACTTAAAAGAGATGTTTTAGAAGTTCAAAATATTTTTTTATGATAAAAACAAACGATAAACATAATAGCAATGTAAAAAATATTTTCATTACCCGTCAATTATTCATTCTACTAATAGTCAATATTTGTTAGGGAGACTTATATATAGATTCTAATAGGTAAACTTATTATACAATAGGTCTATAATAATTCATTATGGTTTTTATCAAGCACTATTAAAAACGACACTAATTGTTAATTTTTTTTGTTACAAAAATGTCACTAATTATAGGTTTTAGCGACAGTTTAAAAAAATCATCACAAAAAAAGTTGCTAATTTTGAATTTTCAGCAATAGTTTGAAAGTTCGTCACAGAAAAACATTATTAATTGAAAGTTTTAGCAACAATTTATAAAAATCGTGACAAAAAAAGTCAATAATTGTTAATTTTTAGCGATATATGCAAAAAATCGGCACAAAAATAATTTTTTTTAGCGACGATTCTATTATAACTTATTTTTAATAGGATTTAATAGAAATTAACTCAAACTATTAGGATCTACTGCCCTAAATTGTAATGAACATTGTATTGTATTTGATATTTAAGTTGGAGCAAGTCCAACTCTTTTTGGGCTAGAATGTTCAAAGGGCTTTACGATCCTAACTCCAACTTCATGCGAGCCACCTGTTTTGCTTTCTTCTTTGTTAGCTTTTGATGTTACCTTTATTCCTTACTAATGAAATCGTTTTGCTGTTCCAAAAAAAATAATATATATATATATAGTCTTTTCGTTTTGAATTACCTTTTATGAAATTAAAATTACTAAAATTACATGTTTAACCTTAATATTTTAGTAATATATGACAGAGTTGTGTTGTCCATTTCAAAGCAAATGCACAGTTTTGCATTTCCCCCTACCTCAATCAGTTTTGTGATGAATATTTACATAAAGTAACTTCAAAATTAAGCTTAATCAGTTTTAAATATGATAAATTTATAGTAAAATTTTATGGTAGCACTTCGTTATTTTTTTGTACTGTAATTTACACAAAATAATAATAATAATAAACTTTTTTTTTAATCTAACAATAACTATATGTTTATTCTCATAAGTTTTCTATAAATTTATTTTATTTCATTGTAAATCTCTTTTAATGTAAAGTCTATAAAAAATACAAAATAAAGTCTTGTTTGGTGTAACTTCTACAAACTAAAAAGTTAATAATAAAAAAATAGAAGTTAAAATCATTTCTCTCTTAACTTCTCAATAATCAATTTTCTTTTAGTTTATTTAAGTTATTTTTCTCTCATAAGTTGTAAACAAAATTTGCATCAAACACTTTGGTATAAATTTAAAAAAAAAGAAAAAAAGGATAGATTACCCTCACCTCCCTTAAGGTTTGAAAAAAAAAAAAAAATACAGTTAGCTCCACACTTTGACATAATTATCATACTGCTCTTCCTTTTAGTAAGACTAAAATAACTAAAACTAATGTTGATAATAAACAGATATTAAAATAAATAAAGATAAATATACATTTTAGTAGAAAATAGATGAAAACATCATTTTTTTTATATTTATATGACTAACGAATTATAGATGAAAAAGTGTTTACCTGTTATGCGGATTAAAATCTCAAGAAAGTTCAATTATGTCAAAAGTATTAAGCGAATTGTATTTTTTTCAAACCTAAAAGGAGGTGAGTGTAATTTAAGGTAACCCACATAACAAGTTCCATCAACCTTGTTAATGATAGATGGACGAAGAGATGGCATTGAAACTTAACCTAAAGTGTAAAAAGTTAACGAGACAATTAAAAATAACGGAACCAAAGTGAGATCATAATAAAAATAAACGAGTGTTAAGTGTAATTAATTCAATTTAGCTAGTTTAATACATAAATGGACATAAGTATTGTGAAAGAAATATTTCATTTAATAAAATTGTAATCCATCATATTAATGATTTATAATTATCACTTTATTATAAATTCCACAACATAATTTAAGTAAAAAAAGTCTAGAAATACAAAAAGTTTTAAATATAGAATATACAGATATAACACACATGTTCATATCTTTACAATTACATATGTAAATATTTTTTATTTCACATTCGTATATACTATATTTGAAATTTTTTATGTTTCTAACACAGGCTTTTAAATTTGAAATTAAAATATAAATTTATTAATGTAAATCTTTGGTGCCATTAATGATGAATAAGAATCTGTATTCTATATAGGAATTCCCAATAGTCCGGGAGCACATACCAATATGTGATAGAATCTACTTATGATTCTCTCTTTTATTCGACGAGTTATTCGATGATCCTAAGATTATTTTTCAGCACCTAAGACTCGCACATTCGTGCAACCCTTATAATAATTTGGAGAAATTGTATATACATATATATATATATATATAATTAAATCTTTTAATTTTTAATTTTATTAATTTAAAATTAAATTTTTTTATTATTTTTAATTTAAATTATTTATTTATTTTCATTAAGCAGAATTGATAGAAAAAATAATATTTTAATTATTAAATTTAACGAAAAATAGTACGTGAGGCAATATATGTAAACCTATAAAATATATATTTTTGTCGGTTTTACTTAATGAAAATATATTGATGGTTTAAATTAAAGATTAAGATTTAAATTGACAAATCTAAAAACTCAATGTTTATTTTGTCACAATGTTCAAATTTTGAAGATTTTTTCTTTTTTTTTTTATAAAGGGTAATTACACCCCAGTGAATTTTGAAATTCTTTTTACATATTCATGAAAAAAATTATAATTTTAATTATTAATATTTATAAAATTTCTTACTGATTTATAATTATTTTTTCAAAATTTCACTGATGTGATATTTTTAAAAAAAAAAAGAAAAAAAAAAGAGAAGAAGATAATGCTCCAAGAATGTACGAAACACTTTGCATTTATTTCAAAATATTTTTCATTGATTCCAGAATTCTTTTGACATTTCCACCTATTTTTAAAAGCACTTTTTACCCCAATTCCAATATTACTCGTTAATATTAGCCAAACAATTAGGTTTCATTTGTATTTAGAGATTTGAAATGCAAGGATTTGACATTAATCACTCAAAGCTCAAATTTTTGTTTGATAGTTTACTTACAAAATTCAAAGTTGTATTAAATAGTTTTATCATGATACATTTGAAATAATTATATAAAAGTAGTTATTTGTAATCATATTAACGATTTTCCTTCTAACTACTACAAGGATCTTACTAAAATATATTCCTTCTATCTCTGCTTATCTTCAATATTGTCAATAATTTGTTGTCCCTTCGCGCTGAGTTCTTGGCTCAACCATTGCACCTTCATTATCACCCGCTTGTCAACCAATTGTATTTGAATTTTTTTTCTCTATGTTCCAATGCATATTCTACCCATGATTTTCATATAAATTTTATATTTTTATAAAATTTTTTAAAAAAAGACAGATAATGAAAACGAAATGAAACAGAGTGATATGTAAAGCCTCTCCGACCACATCACCCAATAGCTACATGTAATTATTTTAGTACCAAAAAAGATCAATGGCTTAGGCTTGGTGTCAAGGACGAGCACAATAACCGAATATGCCGCGAACCCTCTTACTTCAACTTCTCTTTTATGTCTTTATCCTAATCCCCATTTCACCACGCCAAGCATATCCTCTCTAAATATTCTAACATCTTTTCCTAAATAGAACCCACCCCACAAACCCTTTAATTCCACAACATTCATCATTACACACACTCACACTCACAAATCTTGATCTCTTTTTCTCTTTTTCACTCACTTTCACTTTTTAAATCTTGGGTTTAAGAGAGATTAAACTCGGGTTAAATGAAGTTTGGCAAGAAATTGCAGCAACAAATTCAAGACACCTTGCCAGGGTGGCGCGACAAGTTTTTGTCGTACAAGGATTTGAAGAAGATCGTTAGGTTAATTTCTTCAGCTTCTTCAATGATGGAAGGATCGCACGAGCATGGAAAGACAGAAGAGGACTTTGTGTACTTGTTGGACAATGAGATCGACAAATTTAATGCCTTCTTTATGGAACAAGAAGAGAATTTTGTTATCTCGCATAAGGTAAAAATTTTATTGTTGTTTTTTGAAATGGGTACTATGGCTTTCTTTTTCTTTTTTTTTTTGTGAGGCATTCAAAAAAAGGTTAAGTGAGATATTGGTAGCTCTAAACAAAACTCTACTGAGCTGGCAGCTTCAAAGGGAGGGAAAAAAAATTAACTCAAAATATAACATCAAGATAGGACCCACATAATTGTCAGATTATTATAACAATTCTAGAACCCTTTCTTTAGAGCTCTAAAACATTTTTTCAGAGTTTTTTTTTTTGTTTAAACAGAGTAGTTGGGTTTATTTTGACCTTCGTGCAAAAAGACTTTTGGTTTTAGTTGAAAGACCAAGAAAGGTTTATCTATGAGACAAAGGCAAACAATTACTCATTAGGCCAAAATGGTAAACCCTACTCTTTTTTTCTTTTTTCTGTTTTTTGGGACCTAACTTGGCCCAACTCTTGACTCAATGGTAACTGTTAAAAATTAGGGAATGCTAAAGTTACAAGGAAGCTCATTTTTTTGACTTGGCTTGTCTCCGGTTTTAGAGGCATCAATGGAATGGTTTAGTTCGGCCTTTAAGTCCACCACAAGTCAAACTTTGAGAATATTCTCCAAATATTCGATGTGATATTTGACTTGTAACAAGTTTGCTTGCTTTGTACAATATCACACCAAATGAAACTCAACATGTAACTCAAATGAAATCATGCCTTGAAACGGCTGTGGATAAATTCCCCATTGAAAGACATGTAGGCAAGTTAGACAATCGGCTGAGATTTCTTGTTTCTTAGAAAGTTCATTTTTTTTACATACTTAATTATAGATATATTTGGGTTAAAAAATGTAATTTACTCTTCTCCTTTATTTTCTTTCTTTTCCTCTTCATTTTCTATTCTCTTTCTCTACAAATTCGAAATCCAAGAGTTGTATTTCTTGAGCTCAACTATCTGTTGATCCAGGAATTGCAACAGAGAATTCAGAGTGTAATTGATATTTGGGGACCAAATGGTAGTCTTCCATCAGAGGAGGATTACAAAGAGAAAATGGGGAGGGTCAGAAAAGACATAGTCAATTTCCATGGTGAAATGGTGCTCTTGATGAATTACAGCAATGTCAATTACACAGGTACAACTCAACCAGCTTCAACTCTTCCCAGTTTTGATGATCAAAATTTTACAAGCAATCTAAAATTTTAAATTAAATTTCTTTATCATTTTATATGTTATCAAGTGTAACGATAGACCATATCTCCTATGCACTACAACAAATAAAAGTTTCAAGGACTAGTTTTTTTGTCCCGAAAGTGAAAATTTTATTGCAAAAAAAATTTGGAGACCAATTTTTGTCGTCATAAAGATAGTCATTTAAAGGTCATTCAGAAAGTGTAAAGAAAAAGACTTTTAGCGTCAAAATTTTGAAAATATCATTAATAAATGCATTTTTAGAGACAAAATAATTTGGTCCACAATATATGTTTATGTATTTTTTTGACAACAATTTTGGTCCCAAAATGATAGTAATTTATCATTAAATGTTCAATTTCTTCACAAAAAATACAATAATGACATTTTTTGCAACAAAAATATTTCATCCTTAAAAAATGATTTTGTCTCTAAATTTTTATCTCTAAAATTTTAATTTATTGTAGTGATGTATCATACAAAAATTCATAAATGACTTGTAAAATGTTACGTTAGATGGCAAACAAATTTAATACAAAATCTTATCACCTTGATATTACTCAATTTTTATACCAAAAACTGATACATCATATGATAAAATTTAAATAAAAAAAAATTGTCCCTTTTTTTGCTTGAATTATTCCCTTTTAAAAATAAATAAATAAATATGCACTGGTACAATCTATAAAAAAGTATGTTTATTGCATCACTGCAGCAGTGACACGTCATTTAATTTGCAACTTTGATAGAAAAAAAATTTATCATCACAATAGTATTGACTCAACCCTAAACTATATACCAAAAAGACAAAGTTCAATGACTACTACTTCTCACCATAATTCAAAATCTTCTCATAATGAGCTGTGATTTTGTGTGTCTTAGTCACTCTACAAAATTGTCAATCAATAATGAGAAAACTTTATACAATTTGATTATTGTAGGGTTGGTTAAGATCTTGAAGAAGTATGACAAGAGAACTGGTGGGTTATTGCGTTCGCCCTATATTCAGAAAGTGTTACAACAACCTTTCCTTAGAACCGATGTCATCTCAAAGCTTGTCAAAGAATGTGAAAGCACCATAGACACGATGTTCCCAGTTGTCGGAGAAAAAGGAATGCGAGAAGGAAGAGCAGAAATTGAAGTTTCAAGTGAAGGAATTTTTAGGACTACAATTATAGCACTGCTGACCATGCAAGAGATTAGAAAAGCGAGCTCTACGTACAATCACTTCTCTCTACCGCCTCTCAATTTGTCAGACTTCGATCTCATTAAGTTCTTTCAAAAATCTATCCCAAAAAAAAAAAAAAACTATAACAATACACACACACATATATATATATATATATATATCAATCAGTAAAAAGAAATTTTATCGATGAATCCAAAAGTACAAAATAGGACACTAATACAAATATCAATAAAAAAAAGAAGGTGTAGAATGCATTCCAACTACGTTGGCATGACCAGGCAAGCACTATCATACACAAGCACCAATCAAGAACAGAAAAGTTGGCAAGGAACCAACTAAGCCTAAAGGGGAAGAACAGCAGAGAAAGAAACAGCAACACAGAAACAAAACAGGGAACGAGCAGCAAAAAACAAAAGCATGGCATGTGCACTTGGAGCTTATTTGTAGAATATTTATAATATTATATTTTCATATTTTAATAATATTGTATTTTTATATTTACATATTTCCTTAGATTACTTGGTGAGCACTCCTTTATAAGCCTATACATAGGTCACTTCTTGTAACAACAGTTAGTATTAATCTTTATACAATATTTCTCTCTTTACCCACAATTGCAAACAATTGTGTGCGTGTGTGTGTTTTTTAGGGAGAAATGCTAGAACTATATGCTATAGTAGAAATTTGTTGTTAGGAATTTTCGGCATTAGTTTGAGCAAATCTCTCTGCACTTCGAGTTGAGTTTGACAGACCTTCACTCAATTCAAGTTACAACTTTATTTTTTAGTAGTAGTTGTTTTTGTTGAAAGTTGATTGTTTGTTTGGAAGCTCTTATAACTTGGATTATAAGCCTATTTTTCTATTTTAAAAAAAATTAGGTCGTTTGGGATTAATGATTTTTCACAAATAAATCACTTTTAGCTACTTAAAAAAGTCTTTAGAAACTAAAAATATGTCAAATGAACTATGTTTTTTGTTAACATTAAATTTTTTATTGGCTTATTTTTACCTAATTTTTTTTGAACTAAGGGGTCATTTGACATGTAAATATTTTAATCAAAAAGTCATATTTTAATCAAAAAGTCATTAAAAAGTCAAAAAGTCAAAAAGTCAAAAATTTTCTTCCTTTTTATTTACTTTTTGCACAATTTTTCGTAAAAAAAATCAAAAAATTATTCTTAAACATTTCAATATTTTCACCTCATATTTTAATAAAAAAAATCACTAAAAAACACCACTTCCTAATTGGATGTAACTCTTGAAGAAAACTTAAAATTGACTCAAATAAGTCAATAGGTATAAATTGATGACAGCATGCATATAAGCTGCTAAGAATATTTCCATGGCATATTCATCCTTACCAAACCAATCGTATTCAAAGCATTGGTTTTGACAACTTCTCCTAGAATGTCCAGAGACTGAATATTCTTTCCACTCTATATATCTATGTAGACTTGTTTTGGGAAGTAAGTTAAAAGTTGATTTTTTAATTTTTTTTTTTTCTTTTGAAAAAATGTTAAAACAAAAATAGAGAGAAGATGTGATTCAAAAAAGTCAAAAAGTTGCTTTTAATCATGTTCTCAAAACAAGTCATAATCTCTCTTTTTTTTTTCTTTTTTTTTTCTCTCTCTTTTTTTTTTTAACTCAATCAAACATTATCTTATATTAGACCATTAAAGTTCAACAATAGTTAAAAAGTAAAAGAGCCACCAAGTACAAATTAGGAAAAAAATTAAAAAATACGTACAAAAGGGTTCGACAAAAATCAAATTCGGCTAGGCATTGGGCCAAGTCTAACCATCACAAGCCCAGCCCTAAACAAATGTTTAAATCACAAGCTCACCACACATTGAACCCAATGGATAATATATCTTGAAAGGCTATTAAATTATTTAGACAATTTTAACAATTATTTAATTTTAAAAAGATAATAAAATTCAATTATAAAGTAAATATAAATTTTCAAGAAATGTTTTCTTGTCTTTTATTATGTTCTTAGTTTGTTTTGTAATTAAATAATAAAAAATTTTAAATTAAAATTTTATAAATGGTCAGGCTGAATTGGTTGGGTTTAAACTTATTATCTCAAACTCAACTTAAAAATTAAATGTGATCAAAATTTCACCATTACTGGTCTTATGAATTAATTTTTATTTTTTTCTAAGAGGATGTTTGAGGCGCACTACAAAAGTGCATTTATTTATCTTTTTATTTCTTTTGAGTTATATTATTTATTTATTTTTTTATACATCTTTTTTTTAAAAGTCAAAAAATATACTTATTTAAATTATTTCAAATCATACATAAATCTTTTAAAAAAATAAATAAATATTCACAGCCATTGACACAGCCAGTGGACGTGGCATTGCCACATCATCACATCGGACCCACCCCTAAAAGGTTTTAAAATAAGACAAATTACAGTCTATTCTTTTATGTTGAGTCATTTTTTCATTATGGCTTCTAAATTTATTCTTTCTTATTTTGACTTTTTATATTTTAAATTTTTTAAAATATACTCTAAAAACTAATTTATGTCTAAAATTGGATAAAAAATTACGCATTCACAGTCACTTGGCATAAATATATTTTATGGACAATTACAAAAAAAAATATCTCAATACTTGAGACTTGTAACAAATGAACTCTAAGTTTTCAATTTTATCAATTTAACTATTAATCTTTTCATTTATTTTTAATTTAAACAATTTGTTTATTTTTCTTAAGTAAAATCAACAGAAAATGAGCATTTTACTTATTAAACTCAATCAAAAGGGTATTTCAATAAGCCAAAAAAAAAGCTATCTCTTTTTCTGAATTTTTTTACTTTTCCAGTCCCTCTTGTATAGATGTATTTAAAAGGTAAAAAAAAAAAAATTGAAAAAGAAAAAATAAGCCAAAAAAAACTCCATTATTTTTGTCTTTTTTTTGGTCTTTTCTAAATTTTTTTGAATTTTTTAAAATTTTTTGGTTCGTCTCATCGAATTAAATTTAAAAGACTAAAACTTTTCGAAATTTAAAAAAAAAAAAATTACTAAAGACGATTAAAAGCCGTTATACACCACATAAGTTGAAAAAAAAAAAAAAAAAAAAAAAAAAATTTTTCAAAATAAAAAAAAAAAAAAAATACAAAAAAGGTTTTTAGCCCCAAAAAAAAAAAAAAAAAAAAAAAAAAAAAACTATCAGAGAAGCAAAGGCATGTAAATGACGTTTGATTGAACAATTTGTAATCAAATTCTTATAACGGATAGCTTAAAGATTATTTTTTATTGAAAATTTTTAGAATTTAGATTACACTAATTCACCGACGAGAGAGGATTGAGTCTGTTAATAGTCTCTAGTTTCCTTTAATTGTTTCAAATCTATTAGTTATTTTTTTTTAAACTGAAATATATCATTACAGTTTATTTAAAATACGAATTGTCCTATATAGTTTTGAAAATTACAAAAATTCTATTGTCAAAATTTTTTTGTTTAACAATATTAATAGAAAAAAAAGCATAACTACTCTTCTATACAATAATAAAATTATTTAAATTTTAATTAAAATATATTTCTGATATCATTAATAACTGTTAATTGACCTGATAAAGAATTATTTATTGTGCGATTAAAAATTTAAAAGGGTAAAATATAATTTTCAAAATTATACAAATATTTCTAATTTATCTTCATCATCATCATCATTATTATTATTATTAGTCTAACAGGTGGATTGCGTTGATACAGTATTGTCACATTAGCCGATTGTATAATGGGGCATTTATACACAAGTTATAATTTATGAATTTATACTCCATTAAATCTTAACTAAAATTTTTTAGACTTTCAAGCCCTCTTAAATTTTTAATAGTCGAAATTGCCTTTAAAATAAGGAAAATATTTTGTAGCTCGAAATATTTTCTCCCGAATTGCCCGATTTTTGGAAACGACGTCATTTTGATTTTGATTTTTTTTTTCTTCTTTCCCTTCCACTTCTCGTCTCTCTCTTTAAGGTTGAACCAAACCCAGAGAGAGAGAGAGAGAAATAAAGAAGGAAGAAGAGAGGAAGAGGAGGAGGAAGAAAAGAAGGTAGTGATGGTGGAGGAGGAAGATGTTGATGACGATGATGATGTGTTGATGGTGATGGTGTTGCTGTTGATGAAGATGTTCGCCGCCTCCGATCTCTGATCTCTGCTTCCGATCTGTGTATGAGGATGTTGCATTGAAATTTTTTTTCTTCAGATTTTTACATTTTTTTTTGGTTGATCTCTATTTTTCTTTTTGGTTGATCTTTATGTGTGATGTGTGATGATGATGATGTGTTTGGTTGATGATGATGATGATTCTCTCTCTCCCTCTGTGTTGTGTTGATGATGATGTGTTGGAGTGGGTTTGATTTTTGGTTGATGATGAAGATGACCTCTCTCTCTCTCTCTCTGCTCCTTTCCTTTTCTCTTCTTTCTTTCTTCTTCTTCCTCTTCTTCTTCTTTGTTCTTCTTCTGGCAGAAAAAAAAAAATTCAAAATGACGTCATTTTGAATTCAGGCCAATTTTGAGCTCGAAAAATTCGAGCTACATAGCAAAACCACTCAAATAATGATTGTTCATCATTTATAAAGGAATTTGATAATTTAACATTTATTTTGATTTTCAAAACTTTAATATATCAACTTTCAAATTAAAAAAACTAAAAAAAATATATATTGTGTGCAAAATAAAAAAAACTGATATTTTTTTTGAAAAAACTGAATTATTTTTTTGTGCAAAACTGAAAATTTGTGTCTATATAGGAGCATGATGATAGAACATTGATATGTAAAACTGAGAAAAAAAAATTAAAAATGAAAATATTGATAATGTTCTCAATTTTAAAACTGAAAAAACTGATAATATTTTCGGTTTTATTAGATAGTTGAATCAAACCAATAACTAGAAGGCCAAAAACGTTTAATTTCTCATGTTCTGTTTTTTTTTTTTATCAGTTAGTAAACAATTATCTTGACCATTACTATACAAAATTGATAATGTTCTTAGTTTTAAAAATTGAAAAAAAATGATTATATTCTCAATTTTACTTAATAGGACTTATTTGTTCAAAAGATCTTAGATAGGACCTAAACTATCATAACATTTGTAAATAGGACTTTTAGGTAATCAGCTATTTTCAAAAGTAAAAATAATTAAGGTTTAATACTAAACTAATTCATAAAAAAATAAGAAGAAACGTATGGACACTACCTGCATCCGTAATATAGTGCATATAATATGTCTCTTAGAACAACACTATAAAAATTTATAATAAATTATAAATACATAACTTTTGTTTTCACTATATATATATAGTAATAAATTACAAATGACATAATTTTTCTAATCACAACATATATATATATATATATATATATATATATGTATATGTATGACTTTTTACTTAATACTAAAAGGGTAAATTACATTGATGATACGAGTGGTGATTCATCCAACTAATTTTTGGACTACTAATAGCTCTAATGAGCTTAAAAAAAAAAAAAAAAAACCAAACTCAAGCCAAAATATCGCATCACTTTGGTGGGGGCCACTGTGCCACATCATTAGTGATACTCTAGAGCTCCCAATTTAGTGCTCTAAAACATTATTCTTGATGATACCTTTGAGGTTTGTCTTTAATTCAAGGAATAAGGTTTGTCTTTAATTCAAGTATTCCTTCATATTCTGAAAATTGCATCCCCATTTTTTAAGATTTAAACTTTCATTATAATGTAATCCTTCCGTTAGTCAACTGCTAAGTCAATTAACGGAAAAAATTAAAGGTAATGTTAAGGATATCAATTTTCTATCAAATAAATAATCAAATGTCTCACATGGGTATGGGATCTACACTTTTATGGACTTCACATTCATGTGAGACATTCGGTCATTCACTTGATAGAAAATTTAGAATCTATAACATTTTCCAAAAGCTAATATAAGAAATTAATTTTTAAAGTACCTATTTTACCCTTGTTTGCAATATAAAATTGATAAATAATTTATCGTTTATGAAAATTTTATATTCCCCAATTATGGTCTTTGGTTATAACCTAGGCTGGGGCTTGCCTCTACTCCACCATTTGGATTGGAGGGTCCAGTCCTGCCCATTAGGTCCACTTTTGAGCCACTTTTCGATAATCTGAACTGTTCATATTTTAGATTTTTTTTAGTACATCATCTCAATAAAAAATCACGTCAATCGAATAACGCATACTATGTATTCGGATCACTTTTTTATGAACCGTTAATTTTCAGACCGTCCATTTTTTTAGACAAAAGTGATCCGAATACATAATATCCGTTATCCGATCGACGTGATTTTTTTATAGGAATAATGTACTCAACAAACCCTAAAATATGAACGATTCTGATTATTGAAAACGTAGGCCCAATGGGTCAAATTGGACCGAACTATCCCAGATCTGGACTAGAGACAATCCGGACTCATAACCTATTCTCGTGCTAATTATTATTGTTATTATTATTTTTTTGTTATATAGGATATCTTGGGTCAGCTTACGTACACTAGACTACTACAGCCTGAATATGCCTTTCAAAACAGGGCTTACGACTTGCGGTCCGTGGCTCCAAGATATGCATTTGCTGGTTAGGAGATTCGAACTTGAGACCTGAGAGTGAGCAAACCTCCAGGCCATGTCATCACCCAATAGGCCAACCACCCTGTGGTTGGTGTTAATTATAACATTGTTTTGGTTATAATTCAAAATATATTTAGTTATGTCTTATGCGGTGTTTAATCATAATTATTATTTTTTAGTTATGATTGAAAATGATCTAATTATAATATTTGTGATAATTAACAAGAAAAAGTTTGTGTACCATAACATTACCTAAATGTTTAATAGTATAATAATATATATTAGTATTAAATGTATTTTCCTTGCAGATTTTTTTTACTCATTTAGTAATTTTTTTTTAAAGGTCTTTTTAATAAGAGTAAAATAGACATTTAAAAAAATTAATTTATTATATTAGTTTTTTCCGTTAGTTAACTTAACGGTTGACTAACGAAATGATTAAGTTGTAATGGAAGTTTAAACCTTAGAAAAGGGAATATAATTTTCAAAATGTGAGGAGACTACTTATATTAAAGACAAATCTCAAGAGATGGCAATGTAATTTACCTATACTAAAAGGATGACTTTTACATTAAGGTGCATACCATAAATTTTGTTATTTGTAACTTTTATAAGTAACACACATCACAAACATTTATAATTTTTTTTTTTTTTTTTGAAAATGGACATTTTAGTTGTTGTCTTTGTCCCTACTTTTTTTTTAATTAAAATTAAAAAAATTAAAAAGAGAGGTATGATAATCAATATGAGAGTTTATGACTACACTCCAATTATAATTTTTGTACTTTATGTATTGAAATTTTTGTACCTAATGAGAATAAAGCTTATATAATAGTATACATTTTGTAGTATATTTTTAGAGGGAAAAAATTCTTAAGCAACATATTTATATTTTATTTAATATATTCAGCACCACCCACGAGATCACTTTCAAAGTCATCACCTGACAACAAATACAAGTAACCAAAATTGAAAATGAAGACAAGTGCCCAATATCTATTGAAAATGCAGGGTGGCCAATCCAGCTACGCTTACACATTAACTTTGAAAGTAGTATAATATTGGGCAAATTACATTAATTTGTCACTATAGTTTGAGACTTGTGTCACTTTAGTCTTTTACTTTTTAATTGTGACACATTTAATCATGAATTTTAAATCTTGTTCTAAATAAGGACAATTGAAGATATCATTACTTAATTTTAAAGACAAAATCGCTAATTTAATAAAATATAAACTAATTTGATAAAAATAAATGTCAATTTTTTTTTAAAATTTTTTAAAAATTATTTGTAGACACTAAAAATCAATGGCTTAGGCTTGGTGTCAAGGACGAGCACAATAACCGAATATGCCGCGAACTCTCTCACTTCAACTTCTCTTTTATGTCTTTTTCCTAATCCCCATTTCACCACGCCAAGCATATCCTCTCTAAATATTCTGACATATTTTCCTACATAAAACCCACCCCACAAACCCTTCAATTTCCACAACATTCATCAGTACACACTCTCACAAATCTTGATCTTTTTCTCTTTTTCACTCACTTTCACTTTTTAAATCTTGGGTTTAAGAGAGATTAAACTCGGGTTAAATGAAGTTTGGCAAGAAATTGCAGCAACAAATTCAAGACACCTTGCCAGGGTGGCGAGACAAGTTTTTGTCGTACAAGGATTTGAAGAAGATCGTTAGGTTAATTTCTTCAGCTTCTTCAATGATGGAAGGATCGCACGAGCATGGAAAGACTGAAGAGGACTTTGTGTACTTGTTGGACAATGAGATCGACAAATTTAATGCCTTCTTTATGGAACAAGAAGAGGATTTTGTTATCTCGCATAAGGTAAAAATTTTATTGTTGTTTTTTGAAATGGGTACTATGGCTTTCTTTTTCTTTTTTTTTTTGTGAGGCATTCAAAAAAAGGTTAAGTGAGATATTGGTAGCTCTAAACAAAACTCTACTGAGCTGGCAGCTTCAAAGGGAGGGAAAAAAAATTAACTCAAAATATAACATCAAGATAGGACCCACACAATTGTCATATTATTAGAACAACTCTAAAATCCTTACTTTAGAGCTCTAAAACATTTTTTTGAGAGTTTTTGGGTTTATTTTGACCTTCGTGCAAAAAGACTTTTGGTTTTAGTTGAAAGACCAAGAAAGGTTTATCTATGAGACAAAGGCAAGCAAATTACTTATTAGGCCAAAATGGTAAACCCCACTCTTTTTTTCTTTTTTCTTTTTTTGAACTTGGCCCAACTCTTGACTCAATGGTAACTGTTAAAAATTAGGGAATGCTAAAGTTACAAGGAAGCTCATTTTTTGACTTGGCTTGTCTCCGGTTTTAGAGGCATCGATGGAATGGTTTAGTTCTGCCTTTAAGTCCACCACAAGTCTAACTTTGAGAATATTCTCCAAATATTCGATGTGATATTTGACTTGTAACAAGTTTGCTTGCTTTGTACAATATCACACCAAATGAAACTCAACATGTAACTCAAATGAAATCATGCCTTGAAACGGCTGTGGATAAATTCCCCATTGAAAGACATGTAGGCAAGTTAGACAATCGGCTGAGATTTCTTGTTTCTTAGAAAGTTCATTTTTTTTACATACTTAATTATAGATATATTTGGGTTAAAAAATGTAATTTACTCTTCTCCTTTATTTTCTTTCTTTTCCTCTTCATTTTCTATTCTCTTTATCTACAAATTCAAAATCCAAGAGTTGCATTTCTTGAGCTCAACTATCTGTTGATCCAGGAATTGCAACAGAGAATTCAGAGAGTAATTGATATTTGGGGACCAAATGGTAGTCTTCCATCAGAGGAGGATTACAAAGAGAAAATGGGGAGGGTCAGAAAAGACACAGTCAATTTCCATGGTGAAATGGTGCTCTTGATGAATTACAGCAATGTCAATTACACAGGTACAACTCAACCAGCTTTAACTCTTCCCAGTTTTGATGATCAAAATTTTACAAGTAATCTAAAATTTTAAATTAAATTTCTTTATCATTTGATATGTTATCAAGTGTAACGATAGATCCAAGGCCTAACCTATTTGGCCACCATACCTTTCTTAAGACTTAGTTCTAAAGAGGTCATGGGTTCAATTCTCCTTAAGGGAGTTGAATTAATGGAGTGCAAGCACTTAGGTGCTTTGCCAAGGGTAAGGAGATGTTCTCACATAGGTACTAATCTAACAACTAACATTTGCCGATAAAAAAAAAAAAGTGTAATGATAGACCCTATCTCCTATGCACTACAACAAATAAAAGTTTCAAGGACCAATTTTTTTGTTCCAAAAGTGAAAATTTTATTGCAAAAAAATTTGGAGACCAATTTTTGTCGTTATAAAGATAGTCATTTAAAGGTCATTCCGAAAGTGTAAAGAAAAAGACTTTTAGCGTCAAAATTTTAAAAATGTCATTAATAAATGCATTTTTAGAGACAAAATAACTTGGTCCACAAAATATGTATATATTTTTTTTTGACAACATTTTGCTCCCAAAATGATAGTAATTCATCATTGAATATTCAATTTCGTCACAAAAAATACAATAATGACACTTTTTGCAACAAAAATATTTCATCCTTAAAAGATGATTTTGTCTCTAAATTTTTATCTCTAAAAGTTTAATTTATGAGTAAATTACAAATACACCCCTGAGATTTACTTAAAATACGAATTGCCTCCTGTGGTTTGGAAAATTACAAATACCTCCCTATCAGAATTTTTTATTTAACAGAATTAATTAAAAAAGTGAAATTTCTAACTATTCACTAATACAATAATAAAATTATCTGATTTATTAATTGAAATAAAATTTTTAACATTATTAGAAATTGTTAATTAACTTGATGATTTATTAATAAAAGGACTTATTTGTTATGAAATTAGAAACTTTTAAGAGCATAATGTAATTTTTATAACTACAGAGGATAATTTGTAATTTAAATAAATTTCAAGGATGTGTTCATAATTTACCCTTAATTTTGATGTATTGTACAAAAATTCATGAATCACTTGTAAGATGTCACGTCCAATGGCAAACAAATTTTGTACAAAATCTTATCACAATGATATTACTCAATTTTTATACCAAAAACTGATACATCATATGATAAAATTTGTTGGCTACATATTTTGTATAAGTCAGTTACAATTCGACACGTGGCAGAGTAAGGGTAATATAGGGAGACCATTCAAGTCTTCAATCATAATCGTACACGTGGCAGTTAGTATTGGTTATTACGAGATCTAAGTAGCATTGGATCAGCAAAGAGATGCAAAGTGATGTGGCTTCAACGGTTACTCACATTCAAATTCAAAATTAGGAGGGAAGCCTAACTGCAAGGGATGGCATAGTGGAGCTAATTATAAGCCACCATGATCAAGCGGTCATGGAGGAGCAGTTCAATGGTTGGAAATGCAGTTCGATGGTCATCCTTGAGAAGTATAAATAGCAGAAAAGGCCCCAGAAAAAGCCCCAGACTCAGATCCAAAAAACCAATCTTATTCTACTTATTTTCTTTCCTAGTTTTATATTTCCTTTTTAGTTTTACATTTCCAGTCTTACTTTTCCTGTTCTTTACATTCCTGTACTTTAAATTCCTGCACTGCACTTCGTTCATATGAGTAGTTTCAAGTAGATTGTTGCTATAAACCTCTACGAGGCTGAGTTTGGATCATTGTAAGTTTTTCATTTTAATGAAATGTTTTAATTATTCTTCATTTAATTATTATTTTGCTTAATTCTCCTAAATCAAGTTACTAGTAAAAGTCCTCTTCATTGTGGCTGAAAGAACTAAGACACAATCGTCTAATAATTGGTTGACAATTAATTTTCTGTAAGGACTGATTGATCCTTGCTGGCACGCTTGCAATTACAATAATAACCTTCGAAAGCCAAAAAGCCAACATATATTTTTGGCACGCCCAGTGGGACTAATTGAAATGGCTAGACGTAGGAGACAATGAGAAAATGAACGCTTAGAAGAAGGCATAGAAGGAGAGGTAGAGATACCTAATCCAGAGGATAATGTGATAACACATCCAATGGAAACACTCATTTTGTCAGAACCTATGGTCAAACAGACCAGCACTTCGGAACAAGTACCACATGTTCATAATATTGGACGAGACCAAGGAATTAGACCATCCACTGTTCCATCTACTCAGCCAATAAATCCATGGGATAGCCTAGTAGATGCCATGGGACAGCAGTTAATGAACACAATGGAAATGTGGACAACATCCTTTTTGGATCGAATGAATAACCACCAACCAACAAACGCAAGACACATGGAGGAAGTTTCAAATGTCCCTCAGCAAAGATTGGCTAGAGATAAATAGCCTATGCAAGTTAATGGACATTCTAATGGTCAAACTAGTAATCAGAACTATGAAAGACCATCACCTCAATCTTGGTATGAACCTATTTCGAGGCCTATAGCAGGTCAAAACGCCTCAATATTTAACAGTGAAGCCATGCAAGTTGATGGATCTGGCCCAGTACAAGAAAATGGCATAAGAATGGTTCCAAATCCCATGTTTGAAGCCATACCTGGCACGAGGGGGTTCACTAATCCCTTATTCGAATTTATACCCGGGGGGTTAGAAAGTTTTCCTACAAATGGAAGAGACACAACACCTGTTCCAGCACCTTTCGCAAGTCCTTTCACAAGACAGGCTCAAAAGGGTTATCCACACCCCCAACAACAACCTGCACCACAGGGACAACTAGTCCCAAATATACCACCTTATGGACCAAGAGGACCACAGGCACAAGTTTGTCCACCAAATCCTGTGTTTGCCCCTCCAGTAGTGGTTCAACAGGCACAAAATATGGTCCCTACCTATGGACCAAATTGCTGACATTGTTAGAGAGATGTGTGGACCGATGGCTCGGGGGGTCCAGATTCTTGTGTACAGGAAACCATACCCATAATGGGTAGATAGGGTACATAAATACCCAAGAGGTTTCAGGATACCAGATTTTGCCATTTTTTATGGAAATGGAAACCAATCAATAGTGGAGCATATTGCTAGGTTTGCTGCTCAATGCAGTGAATTTACTAATATGACTATATGAAGTTAAGGTTATTCCCAAATTCCCTAACTGGGGGAGCATTTGTATGATATATTAACCTTACACCTGGCTCTATCCAAACGTGGCGAACAAATGGAAGAGGCATTTCATGCCCAATTCTTCCAATCGGAGCCAGAGGTTTCCATGGCAGACTTGGCAAGATTGAGTCAAAGGCCTGAAAAGAAGGCTACTCAGTTTATTACCAGATTTAAAAGAGCACGAAACAAATGTAGAGTCGTCCTACCAGAGCCAGAATTCGTGAGATTGGCTCAAAATGGTTTAGAGTTTAGGCTTCGAAAGAAGTTTGACTCAACTGAGTTTAGAGACTTGGTGGAACTAACCTATAAGGTGTCTAGGTATGAAGCATTACTAGAGGAGGAACAAGATCGAAATAATGCATCATACAAGACATACTATAGAGATCCTAACTATGAGATTTATGCAGTAGAGATTGTGGGGAAAGATCTTGTGACTGTGAGGCATTAATTCATAAGGATATAACAATTGACCAACAGTTTAAAAAGAAAGATCTTCATAGGAAATACTCTTTCGATTTAATTAAGGCAGATGACATTTTTGATCATTTGCTTGCGGCCAACTTCCTTAAATTACCAAAAGTAGTCAAAATTTCATCTCCAGATGAACTTAAAGGGAAAGTATATTGTAAATGGCATAATTCTTGGTCTTACTCGACTAAAAACTGTATTGTTTTTCGAGACAGGATCCAAGAACAAATTCGGAAAGGAAGTTTGAAATTCCCAGCCAAAGTAGAAAAGGCCATGGGGATCGATAGTAATCCATTTCCAAAAATTGGAGAGGTGGCAACCAACGTCATTATGCTAGATTTCCAGAACTTGTCCTTGAAAGAATTGAAAGAAGTCAATGTGCAAATGCATGTTGCCGATCAGACAACTATCAAGAAAGACACTGAAAATCTACCAGCTATTGGACAAGGTTTCTCACACCAGAGGGAAGACTCTGATGAAGAAGCACTGGATGACGACTCTTTACAGGCAATTGTAATGCAAAGGATGTGTCCCAAGTGCAGACTAAGGTATAAGTGGTTGAAAGGGCTTCCAATTGATGGGAAACAATATTACAGAGATGTGTAGAGACGTCCTAAACCAACCAATGCTTATAATAAAAGGCCATATCCATCTGGTATTAAGTAGCAGCCATTCATGGTTGAACCAACAGCCGATAGAATGTATTCTAAAGGCAAAAGGCCTTTATATGAGTCTAGGTCACCTAATTATTACAGAACGAAGAGTAGTCATTGTGAAAGAAAACTGAAGAAGGGTTCAGTTTATGGGAACAAAGCCAGAGATTGGCCCCCTAGACCAGCCTCACGCAGGATAGAAAGTGGCCACCTTTATCAAAGGCATGAGTTAGGCCCAAAACATGAAGTCAGAACCAAGAAGTGGCCATCACAGCCAGCTTCGAAGATGGCTTCGAAGGAATAAAAGAACAATTCAACATTTGGGTCAGCAAGTTTGTGGGTACCTAGAGTTCCAGATTGGTTTGTGATGCAGAACAAACCTACGGAAGTGTCTACCCAAAGAGATGTTCTTGGAAACCCAAGGTAGGATGGTCAAGCCTCCTTTGGTGGCCCCATACAATTGGGTATTGCTTAAACACCCAAAAACAAAGGAACCAGATATGGTCCCAGTAATTTCGAGATCACAAAGGAGAAAGATTCAGTGTAGGTACACTCAGTACTAGAAAGACCTGAAAGAAAGTGGAGAGAGCTTTTTATTGGTCCAGATAGAAGGAAAGAAGAATCCAAAGTCAGACCATACTCTAAAACCAACTCTACAAGGCAAAATGGGCTGCAA